TTCGGCTCGAGTGCCTGTTGAGGGCGTGTGCCGAGGTCCGTCGCCTCTGGGATCCTGCCCAGGGTGGGATTGAGAGCTGCAGGGGGGCACAGCGCCCCACGCCCTGGCACAGCACCCGTTGCCAGAGATAAGCCTGTCTGGGCTCTGTGGCAGGACAGGGAGCTGCCCCTCTTGGCGGCTGTCAGAGCCCCACCAGTCCTGGGAATGGTCTGCGGGGAGCTGAGTCCCCCCATATGAGGTCTGGCACCCCCTGAACATGCCCCAGCCCTGCACCCGTGGCTCAGTACCTTGCAGGAGCAGGTCGGTGATGGCCTCCAGGCTCTCGAAATCCACGCTGAGCTGGTTCTCCACGTAGAAGCCGCGGCTTTTGCTCCACCGCAGGGGCAGAGCACACGGCGGCCCTGGGCTCAGCAGGTCCCGGACCTGGGGGGTATGGTGCAGGGAGGGTGGGTGGCACAGGGTGCCAGCAGTGCCTGGCTGGGCTGGGCGGCCGGGTGAGCGCTTACCTGCTCGTTGTAGATCTCCAGGTAGGAGGCACTGAGAGCCAGGCCAGTGCTGCAGCTCCGGCTCTGCTCCAGGAGGCAGGCGAAGGACCTCTGCATCAGCCCCAGCAGACTCGGGGCCGCAGGCTGGTCCTTGCTCTGCGGAGATGTCCAGAGGGTGAGCGGTCACATCGCGTTGGGCACCCATCTACTCCCACCACCCTGGCACCCATGACCAGGTAAGAAGAGCCCATCCCACCACCATGATCAGGTCAGGTGGGGGGGACAGCATGGTACCTGGGCGAGGGGTCCCATCAGGGTGTACGTCTTCCCTGAGCCAGTCTGCCCAAAGGCAAAGACGGTGCAGGAGAAGCTGGGGAAGAAGCTGAGCCTCATGCATGGCCCCGGGCAGTGGCACGGAGATGCCATCTCCTGGCACTGCCCTGGCAATGCAGACCCACCGGCAAAGCCTGGACGGGCACAGTGCAGTGGGCGCGGGGTGGGCTGGAGGGCCGGGGTCCGCGGGGGCTTGCCGGGACTCACCCGTCTATCGCCAGCTCTCCCAGCTGCCTCATCCCGCTGCCCTCGAACACGGCCTCCTGCGAGGCGCCCGCATCAAACACGGTGCTGAACCTGAAGGTGGCATCGTGCCTGGCCGCGCTCACCTGGGTGTGGGGGTGGCAGCGGCTCAGGGGGTGCCTCAGCCTCCCCAGGCCCCCCGGCAGGGAGGTGC